AACTCCGTAGCTCTTGTCTCAAAGGATTCGCGAGCACATCACAACGTTTTAACGTAGCTGAAGCAAGGTATTCTAATTGCTATATCAGGTCGTACCTGATGAATTACAGTCTCGGGTACATTCAAAAGTATTGCCATGTAGTCTACTCCATTTCTGAGAAATTTCAGAGCGAATTCCATAAACACCACGTATTTGTTACTGATGTTCGCGGTCTGCGCCACCTCAAGTCGGAGTTATGTGTACAGAAGCAATTCGTAAGCCAGTTGCTTTTACTATCACCCACATCTTGCAGTAAATGATCACCAAGTTTATCTAACTAATTTTTTCTGGTGCTGAATATACCACTTTCTGTGACATCAAGATTCATCTACACAAATGCTAACCTTAATATCCTAAATCATACACAGTTAATTCGGCTCTTTTACTATGTAACTAGCACTATGTAACTATCTCTATGGACATTTTTGCATTGCTAGTAATAAGCATTCCCTGTGATTTCATACAAGATCGTGAATGAATACCTGCACTTCAGTGCTCGTCATATAGTCCCTGTTGTAGAGTTGAGAACGGATGCCACCGGATAACAAGATATTGTTGAACGGCTTAACATAGAAAGAAGTCCCGGGCCTGATTTGAACCGGATATAGGCATTTCCCATGCAATGTTCTCAACTTCGAAGCATAGGTGGAATATAGTTCTAATATATTGTCGGAAATTGTTGGTGTTCGCTCGAAGCACAGTTCCAGCTTTACAACCGTTCTTTTTGAATCCCAACGACTCCTTTCCTCGCCAGCTTTTCTGCACTGAAATCTACTTGTAAGAGTTTTCTGGAGGTGGGGCAAGGACAGAACATCAATAAACCATGATGAATAAGTTGTTAAAAAATGAGAATGGAAGTTCATACCAAACAAAATTATCCTTCAGATTAACAACTTATATCTCACAATTCGTGAAATCTGCTGCTTTAGATTATTGATGATAAGCTATAATGGAATATATTTTGTACGATCTAGTACCGGTATAGCTGAAACATTAAATATTTGCTTAAGATGTTTACAACCGTGGTGCAATTAGTCTGGTCAGCGAAACATTAGCAGATAATGCCACCAATAAACGAACTCAGGATTTAGCGCTAGCTTGAATTTATCAAGTTTCTACCATTTAAAATGTGGTCGAGGAAAACAGTTACTGTGTTCCCGCTGCTAAGTTTTAATCTAGTTTTGGCATTCGCCGTTTTGTTGCTGTCAAATTATGCACTGCCAAACCGTGATATCTTCGGAGAATTTCACTATACACTAACTGCAAATCCAGACTCGATTTGTCGCCCTACTCAGAAGCATAAAATGTAAGCAATAAGCACCTTCGTGCAATAAACTTTAAATATGTTACGAGTTTCGTAGCAATACCAAAGCTACATTTCACTTATCGGAAATTTGCTTTATGCAAAATCTATTGGATTAACATTATCCTAAGCCGTCACTGTAATTGATTTCAAAAGGCACCACTTTAGTTACTACCGACGTTTAATTTATCAGTCCTTTACTCTAAAACAACACCTTGGCTTTATTGAATGTAAATTATTACTACTTGCGTTTTCCCTGTACGTCTCGCGCTTCCATGGTCCCTGCCCTCAACAATTTGCCCACTATTTCTGTTGGTTCATTGCTTCGCCTTTCTGAATAATTGGTATTCTTGCTGGTTAACTTCGAAGCTACTACCTAGTTAGAAATCATAAACAACCTGATGTCGAAAATGCTTATGGTCACAATTCAGTCGTTGTATCACTAATCGTGATTGTCACAAAGAAAAGCTTGCTTAATTCCACGATATCGTTGCATTTTAAATGACTCGTTCCATGCAGCACTAAGAAAGTGCTTGCTGGGTACACAATGAAATTACTTGGATAGCAGACGAGTGACAGTGACTATGTGCTATAAGCAAACACAACGGCAACATGCCAATTAAGCAGAAGTTGCCAACAGATTTGGTATTCAGAACAGCCTTCTTCATAGCTACCACATTATTGATTTTGCATTGTTTCCAATTTATAAGCAAATAAACACTGCTCTTAAAAATACCAATTCGGATGAAAAGGTTTGTACACTGTAGGGTAAACAAAGTATGCAGTTTCCAGTAATGAGATGGATATACACAATGCACAAGTTGAACCTGAGCAGTCCATAAAACTGACAACTGCAGCGTCCAACGCCACAGATATTTTGAGCCAATATAAAGGAAAACCGGTTTAGCGAGGTCGAACTAAATCAAACTATCATAGAATAAAACAATCATTAGATTGTGGTATGTTAGAATGCCACATGACACTAACTGTGTGCTTAAACTCATCGCAAGTTCCGCTTGACTCCGTTCTGTTGATTGTGTAATATGCATCGATATCTGTACAATTAAGAAGAAAGAAGTTGTAATGTAAATTCAGATGTTCTTAATAAATAGAGAATATGAATGGCAAGCATCTGCATGTAAACCGCTACTAAACCCCACATATGTCAATGAGCAACTAAATGTAAAATTCTGAATTACGAGCATAATCTGATGGCACAAAAATAATTACAAAGTAAAATAACAATATTAGAGTACAAAAACTGCGAAATGACATTTTCATTTCACGCATACTCATCAACCACACAAACCAACTAACAAGAGATGCAAAACAATGTCATATGAAATAAATTAATGGTCATCTGCCTTTCCTTTGTTGCGTTTCAAGCCTCCAGGCTAGTTTTATTTTCACTGTCAGCCGTTTTTGAACCGAGTGATGGACACCGCCTATCGATAGCGATATTTTCGATCAGCTTGATTATACAAGAAGTTTGACTGCAAATGAGAACTGTGATTGATTTATCTAGCTTTACCTGGTAAACGGCGCTCATCAATGCCTTGTAATTGAAGACGTAACTTTGCTTTTCAATTCACAGACAGCAGTCGTCGCATGCTCCCGCCGCTTGCGGTTCCAATTTGGCACATATTTAGGACTCGAACACCTAGATTTCGATCAGTGCGCCCAACATAGTTGTTTCACATCTACATGTGAATTTGTATAAACAATGTGACATGCGCTGGTCCAACACCGGTGTCTTTACTGAACACCTAAGCTTTGGTATGTTGATCAATAGCAAGCGTTATTCCACTGCTCTGAATTTCCTTTTGATTAAAGGGCTTAAGCTTTTAACTGTGACACGCACGTTGCGGTATCCATTGAAAAGCAACTCAATGAAAGCTTTATATTGAGCCTACAACTCTCAATCTTGTTTTATTACCTCAAAATAGCGCTGCATGATGTGCAATAGATAACCAATAGATTATAGCACGTCAAAAAGGAATTCTTTCTATTATTATTATTTGGTGCAAATCGTATAAGCTCTAGGAAAAAGTGTTCGAAGTAAAGAGCGCTTTAGATGGATTGACTGGAAATCTTAACATGTAAGCATTGATCATTCCGTGTCGCAATCCGGTAGAAGGTTCGTTTGACTTGTCCACCTTGTCTTTGTATGAGCCAAATGTCTATGTATGTGAGACGACGGTGTTGTCAGTTCTACATATCACAGTTTTGATTTACACCATTGAGCGCTTTGGTTGTAAGTGCAATGTCTTTATTTGAATCCATGACGAATGTGCGTCTCTTGATGTTCCATGGAACGTGGCCAACAAATTTGAACGAATTGACCCTGTCCTCCCGCAATCATCTTCCGATATTTTTCTTTAGAAGGATAAACGGGAATATCATTCTTAATTAATAAATTAGTTTTTGCGATTCATATGATGAGGTGATTTGCAACCGGAGTTAACACTTCCATCCAGCCCGTGGCATTAATGTCGCAATACTGTCTTTTAACCCTGAGATCGTGGGTTCAACGCTACATAAGGAACCGAACGATCCTCCTAGTGTCTTTAGCTCATGCGCGACTGGAGCTAGTTGCGTGCCAGAGAAGCGTCGGTACTGCGTACCGGCGTAATGCTGATGATTTGCTTATGGTATCAAGTTGAAATAATATGGCATTTTATTCACAAACGCACTTTTAGTTTGTATACGTTGCAGTGATGAAGGTTAGTTTTAATGATTGCGGTTACTAACCGGACGATATAAGTTGTGACCAAGGAAGCTTTCAATGTTTTCTAAGTCGTGTCAAACCACTACACAAAAGGACTTAGCAAACGCCTACTAAAAATGGCCGACGCCATAGTGATCAGGCTAATGAAACCTGAACTGTGCAACCAGAGGACCTTATTGCAAATCCTTCTGATACAGTGGCCGTGGTCCCAGTGTGGGCAACGCTCAGTCCATTCGCAAATGGTCAGGCAGTTGTCCTTATCTTGTTTTGTGTGCATATATATATATATATATATATATATATATGCCTATGTAGGACTATCACCGTAGGTTGGAGAGTCATATCGGCGATCAATGCAGTCTGTATGAACTTGATCAACAATCGCCGAGCTTTCATGGCCTATTGCAATGATTAGACCAGTTTTATATATGTATTCGCCTGATGAAAATATAATGTATTTTCGAATTTAAAAGTGCAATCTGAGTCTGTAACGGGTCCGAAAGTGTCGTAGCAGCAATGCAACTGGTAAGATATCATCGATGCTCGTTGAAAAAGCATTATTGTTTAAGCGTTACTTTCATACGTTTCCGGTACTTTCATAGCGACCGTTTCCTGCGAATTTTCATACCATCCCTACAACCTAGTTTCCGATATGATTGTGCAACTATGTCGACGTGCTCAAGTGAAAATCGGGGTGTTGCTCAGACACATCTTTCATCCAGCTCCAAATATCTTTCTAGTGAGGATACAATCCAACCACTACAAATTAGGTGTTTTGTGATTTAGTCACCCATTAGCCTACTACGAATTACGTACGAGTTGGAGGCAGGATCGCTAGTAATCCTGAAATTAAGCAAAGAAGGATATTTTTACGGTATTATTCTGAGAATGTTTTGGACGACAGCAGATGGATTCTATTCATTAGTTTGATTCAGTTCTTTAGTTTCATGTCGACCATGATAAACTATGCACTTATTGCATGCATGGCGACTGCAGTTGACCGAATTCATAGAAGAGTGCACTTACATAGTCCGCGGAATTTGATAACTGAAAAAGGCAAAAATGGCCCTGGTGAAAAAATCAGGATTAGCCAACCAAGATACATTTCATGCATGTTTATGTACACATAAGTTTTTGTGTAGGGAAAATTCTAATTAGTTGACTTGACACAATTTATTACCACTGTTATTGTTCCCAATACTCTTGCCCGCGTACATGCGAATAGGTGCACAAATGAGTCCCAGTGAAATTTGAGCGAACGACTTAAAGAGTATACCGAAAATACATTCAAGTTTCTCCTACGGTTTATGTGTTTCAGCCTGAACAATATTAAAAAACAATATCTTCCTTCTAAATTGTGGTTGTGTAGCAAATGGTTATAGTGTAATAATCCGAGATTTACCCAACAGTAGAGTACGCTACATTTGGTGACAATGTATTTTCCAAAGAAGGAAACTCGTTACGCATATTTTCAAATAATCCACTCAAACAGGAATAATAAGAGTTTATTTTTTGTCACGAATATAAAAGCAATAAATAACAAAAGACAAAAAAGATTTGTTTCAGCAATTTTTGTCATTTTGCAAGCCATTAAAGCCATTACTTCCAAACATTAATGTCTTCTAACCTGCATGGTAACCGCCAGTTCTGCAAATCTATATTAAGCTAAACTACCTTGTAAATACATTTCGTTAGTGTCTACATTTAATAGCTGTGTTGATGTATTTTCTGTGATTTGGACAATGCATCAATTGCAGTTATACAAATGTTGTTGCATGAGGGCGGTTAAGATTCAGTATTATGCGCGCTTCTGAAAAATGCTGATATCGAATCTAATGAACAGCCATCAGTCAGATACTAAGCTACGTAGAACGATGTTTGTTTGTTTAAACACAGCAAAACCCCAAAACTGTACGTCTTATGGTTAAGGACAATAATTTTACCTGAAAAATACCAACATAATTCCGAAATAGTTAGTGTATGAAATTAAAATACATGATTTGACACTTGCACCTTAATAGAATTGTGAGGTACAAAGATGTATCAAATTTTTCAACCAAAATACATGCTGTATATGCGACAAACATGCTTAAACACTTGTACTATAAAAACAGTTTTGCTTGGTTTAAAAAACAGAGTACGTGGCGTTGCTTCTCCAACCCAAAACCTTAGGATTGTACGTAAGCGCACCTAATATTACCTTATCCAGCCTAAATTGTATCTCTTTTACATATCTGGAGCTTTGCCGAATATCTTAAATACCTATTGCTAAGGTAATGTGTAACTTCTGAACTCTGACATTCTACGCTAATCTTCTATAAAGTAATCTCGAATTGGGTTGAACAGCTGTGTTGATGCACTCGGGTGATGCTCAAATCCATGGAAATGTGATGGTTTATCTTGCAATATTTGAACGATGCGCAAGAGTGACGTTAGAAATGTCGATGGATGGTATATAACCCTATCCTTGTTGGCAATTAGCCGCTTGGAAAACCAATCGCCTTGCTTAATAAAGCGTCAATTTTATCGTTAATGTACATGTGACATATAGTATCTTTAGTATCCGCGAAAACGCAATACAGTAGTGCTTATAGGCTATCGTTAGCTGCGTTCCAGCAATTTATTGCTTTGGTTTTAATAGTAGCAATTAACTAGGAAAAAGTTTGGCATTCTTTATAAATGCGCTCAAAATTATTGTCATGGCCGCCTCATATACTTTCGACAATTGTCCGACAAACGCCTGATATGACGCCGGACAAGAAAACGCGTTAGGTCTATAATTGGGCAGTCAAATCAGTGCCTTTCCAGACAAGCCCATACTGGTTTGGTTAACTTAGTTTTGCTCCGTTATCACTGATCTTGAGATCAGAGAGTTCTTGAAGAATCTATGAAATATCATTCGTTAATAGCTAATTCGAGGCAAGAAAACTTAAGCGTAATTACATTAAAGGTAACGCAATTGGCAATCACCATTGCGTCTACAACCTGCAGTGGTACGAGCAGCAAACTTGTGTTTTGCTTACGTACCGTCATTAGAGTTTTACATGATTATTGGTCCTTAATCACTCATACAGAAGTTTTATTTATTTCGCAAACGCGGCTGTTTCTTTCGCATGTATATCTATACGATATGCTGGCATGTACGCATATACAGCGTGCTCGGCTCAGAAGGTGCCAATCAACAGGACACACTGTCCAATAACACAGGCTTAAGAGAAAAACGAATAATTCGACAGAGCAACTTCAGTGAAAATGATAGCACAACTGATCTGTAGAAGTTTCGATGTGAATAACCAGTTTGCTTTCACAATTGAGGACGCCTCTTCGTACACGAGACTATTCCCTATTTTCAACAAAATACTCAAGCGCAGCCAAATAGTAACCATTCAGCGCAGATATGGAGATGCGTAAGCGCCCAAAACATTTGCCACGTTCTCTTGTTGTACTCCGGCCGCTTACACCATCATGTAAATCCTTCCTATTTCCTTGCTGGAATAATCGTGTCCCATTCTCTTCATTTCATGCGCATCCGCATCGTTGTCGCTGAAAACCGTATACGCCTTTTCGTTTTCTTCGTTGTGAACATCGTTAACCCTTATGAGCCTTGCTTCATGTTCCCCTCGTTCCCGGTATCGTCTTAGATGCACCCAGTAATTTCTGATCATATTTCTTTCAACACTGACTTTACAAAAGCATTCCCTGAAATTCGCAGTTATTACAACTTTATTCTATGACACTTTATCACTTCCGTGGCCGAGTGACGAATGCGTCACACAACCAGGCGTACTGTCTCTCTGCCTCCTATTTACATTTGTTGCCTATACCTGGCTACAAGTAGTGTTGCCTGAGTAGACCGAGCAATGTATAGTTAGAGACAAATCAACTGTTGCCTCATTCTGAATCCACCAAGCGTTTCAGCATTCTATCCTGGTCCACCTTTCTATTTTATACATGTAAACGCCCGATGAGAGTTGTCGAAGAAAGTGCTCTTAGCTACCCTGTGTTCCTGCAACTCCATAGGTTGAATTTCCTAGTTAAAAAACTGCAAGCAACCCAAGCCGTTCAACGACTTCAATAAATGTTTGAAGTTTAACGCCAGGGTCGCGGATGCATAGACCAACATCATATTTATTCTGGCTTGTTTACCATGGAATCAATATCCAAACACGTTTTGGAAAGCTTTTAAACGGTGTCGTGTGCCTCTAACGATGAAGTCGCTCAAGCGCCATGCTCACAACATCCTGGAAACTGTTCAGGCAGGTATCCTTGAGTTAGAACGACTGTGTCCTCTTTGCAGTTCAGCCGTAAAAGAGCTCGTTTCGTCGCAGCGCTGTGCTTTTAAGCAATATGTACAGGAAATGTGTGTAAAGGTAGAAGTGCAATGGTACGCTAACCTTCATAAATGCCTAAATCCATACATCATATATCATACACGCTAGCTAGAGGTGGGGAACACCTCAGCTACTGTGCCGCAATAAAAAGAAAAAAATGAGAAAGAAAAAGAAAAAAACTGGTGAAAGCTGGCTGAGCTACCGGTAACGAATGGGCATCGTTCCGGTCCTAAATCCACCACCACCAGAATATACTTTCCCTCCGTATCCGGGGAGGTAGGTGCAGATCTAGCCAGAATTCATCTAGAACATTAGTAAATAGAGTCATTGACACGTGGAACAAGATTTTGCTTTTATCAGCCAAGATGTGGTCAAGTCCATCTGGAAATCGAGTTTGAATATCTGGTGCAACCACTGACCGAGCTGACGCCTACGTCATTCCTTGACAAGGTGCTTTCAGAACCATCCTGGTTCAACGAAATCTGAGCTACGAATCTAAATTCTCATAGCTCCACGCTTAAAAACCTTCGGGTTTCCATTAAGGAATTGAAATTAATTTCAAATGCGATAATTACTAGACAGGCTAAATGATCGGGATGGGTACTTGCGTATAGATCCGACTACGTCTGGGAGATTCACTTCGTTTTGCGGGACACAGGGCATTTCCTGCGTGAAGCGATAGAGAATGAGAAGACCGCACAGGATGAGCACAAGATCATACGAATATGGGAAGAGTTGAACCGCATGCGACCTATGGATAGCACGCTACTAGAACGGTTTACTCCAGTCGGATCACATCCTCCCCGACTTTCGTGCGACCTAAATTACACAAGCCACAAATTCCTCTGCGTTCCATTACTGACATGTCAACTTCCCTTTTCAATCAGTTGCAAAACGAATTTTGGATTTGCTTGAACCAGTACGCAACGAGTAATGCCTTACACAGTGAAAGGCATATTGGAATCTGTGCAGCACTTTGAACGCATGTAGTCAAACGGTAAACTGATCCTCTCTTTCGACATTGAGTCGCTTTTAATGAACGTTCCGTTGCTAGAGAGGATTCATTTTTATTGTGATTACTTAAACAAAATAGCATAGTTGCGGGAATTTCGGTGCAGAAACTGAAGGAATTCATCTTACGATGCACGCTTAACAGACAAATTTTGTTACTCGAGATCTCCAACAGATAAATAAATGGAGTCGAGATAGGATCTCCCTGGGAATTCTTCTTGCTAACATTTACCTCACTATGTTTGAGGGTGGATCAATAAACGCATCATATCGGTAATTGATTCTTACGGTCAAAGTGTGAACGACACGTTCATAATCTCCGGTTCAGGCACTGAAGTTCCCAGCCTGTTGAACCGTTTAAACTGTGTGCATTCATCGTTTCTCACCAGTAAAAGCGAAAATGATGGCAAACTGACCTTCTTGGACTTCCTACTGAGGAGAAAGGAAGACGGTCTGCTAGAAGCGTGTTTCGGAATTCGACGTAGGTTGACTATTACGAGCAATTGTTCAGTTTTGTACCCTTTTATTAAAAACGGAATCTTGTTCGTTGCTTCTTTCTGCGCTACCAATGTTTGCAGCGCGGAGACATAGGAAGCAGAAAATATTTGTATACTCCAAACGCCACAGGAATACGGTAACCCAGCCCCGTACATCCGAAAGCACTCAGTGGTACACGATCGTCGTAAATACATTGTTATTGTTCCA